TATGTGAATGGCCTCATGAACGAATCTCTCATGGTAGCCGGTTGGTTTGCAAAGAACCTCCGTCTTGGAGAAGTCAATGTCATGTGAGCCCACTGAATTATAACAGTGATCTGCCACGGCAGAGGAGTTCGTCCTACCGTGCTTCAAGTCTGCTTTGTGTTCGCGGATGCGGTCCGAGATATGTCTTTTGGTTTCTCCAATGTAGCTACTACCACAGAGGCACTTTAGTTTGTAAACGCCCGGGTACTGTATGTCTGGAACAGCATCTTTTACAGATGGAACTAAATCACGGATTTTATGTACTGTGTTGAATCGGACCTGGATCTTGTGTTTGTCCAGGATTTTGGAGATCTTTTTAGTGACCCCTGCAATGTAGGGTAAGGTGATGGTTTTGAGTGGCTCCACAAGAGGATCCTTCTTCATGACTGGAGTGATGGCTTTGCGGATTGTGTAGTCGGAGTAGCCATTAGCCCTGAGAGCCTGGTGTACGTGCTTGAGTTCACTGGTAATGTGTTCCTGGTCGGAAATGCATTGGGCTCTATGATATAGAGTCTTGATGAGGGAGTTCTTCTGGGATGGATGGTGGTGGGAATCCGGTTTCAAGTAAGCATCTGTATGGGTAGCTTTCCTGTATACAGAGTGGCTCATTGAACCATCATGTCTTCTTTTAATTAAGACATCCAAAAAGGGTAGTTTGCCATCTTTTTCGACCTCCATGGTAAATCTGATGGCTGGGTGTATGGAATTGATGTGGTCGCGGAATTGGTCTAGAGCAGGCTGGCCATGTGGCCAGATGACAAAGGTGTCATCAACGTACCTCTTCCATAAGGTCGGGCGTAGAGTGGCAGTCTGGATGGCGTCAGTTTCAAATTTTTCCATGAATACGTTGGCTACAACCGGAGATAGGGGGGAGCCCATTGGGGTGCCCTCAGTTTGTTTGTATAACGTTCCATTCCAGGTGAAGTAAGTGTTGGTTAAGCAATGTCTCACCAGGGGGGGTACATCAGTATGCAGTCCTTGATGAACCAGGTCTTCGATGGTGTCAGGTACCAGGACTTTGGTGAACAAGGACACCACATCAAAACTGACAAGCAGGTCGTTTGGGGACAGGGAAATGCCTTTGATTGTCGATACCAGGTGAGTAGAATTTAGTACCGCAGAGGTGGTTTTTCCTGTGAAAGGTCGCAGTATATCAGCAAGAAAACGTGCCAGTTTGTAGGTGGGGGAGCTGATAGTAGAGACGATGGGACGAAGGGGTGTATCTTCTTTGTGTATCTTTGGAAGGCCATATAATCTTGGTGGTCTGGCAGCAGAGGGCTTCAACGAGAACTGTTTGATCTCATCAATTAATGCTGTTGAATCATAGATTATTTTGTTCGTTTTGGTGACCAGGCTGTTGGTGGGATCTCTTTTTATTTTTGTGTAGCTGCCATCGTTGAGTAGTTCTTGAATTTTGTTGTTATATTCTGTTTTGTCCATGATGACAGTGGCATTGCCTTTGTCGGCTGAGAGGACGACAATATCATCCCTATTTTTTAATTGAGATAATTCAAAACGTTCGTCTTTGCTGATGTTGCTGGGTGGCAACTTAGCGTTTTTGAAGGTTGCAGCGATTTCCGATCTTGCTACGTCTGCAGAGATGTGACTCAAGCCCTTGAGTGCAACGTCGACATGGGCAATGATATCATTAACCGGTAAGTGTCTCGGTGTGACAGCAAAGTTTAGACCTTTAGCTAAAACGGATTTCAGACCATCAGAAATGGAACTGTTACTGCGATTAATTACGACTTTGTTGACGTCTATCTTTTCGGTGTGTGGATCCGATTTTTTGCTGGAGAGGTGATTGAATTTGGAAATCAAATTGTCCCTACATTTGTTCGACATAGTGGCAGCCGAAGAGGTAGTCATATTGTCTACATGTTCCCAATCCGATGTAGACATTGTTGCTGTCAATTTTAAGTGTGATTTGTAGAGTGTCTTGTCTAACTGATCGAGTTCGGTGCGTGTAAGTCTGATTTTTTCCGAGATAAGAGCGAAGCTAGTTCTAGCTAGAATTCGTTTTGCATTGAGAGAAGTTGCAACAGCAGAGGTTAGTGTAAATGCGGTTGGTATTACCTTAGAGTCGCGGCATCTCTTCAGAAAGGTGAGAGACTCGATTAGTTGAGCCTTCTTATCCCGAAGTCTGTTGAATGATCTTAAGGATGTGTGGAATCCTTCCCCGTAGAGGCGGTTAAATTTCGATTTAAAGCTTTCGTGACTGCAATGATTCATCTTCTTTGGTTATTTCGGAAAAGTCACGTAGAATGATAATAAAATAATAAATTGATAAAATAAAATAACACAATAATATTCTCACGACGTTTTGGCCACAACACAAGCGGCCTTCATCAGGTGAAGGGGGCGAGACTGTCTAGTAGGACAGCGCTGGAGTGAAAGAGCCACGTTCAGATACGGCCTTTAAGCTGTGTGAGAGGAACAAAGCGCCTTGACAAAGGAATTAGCATATAATTTAGCATTGAAATGGCTGAATGATTGGCTTGTGACTGGTCACAGAAATAGCTATGTTAAAAGTTAAAGCATACACACCCGCAGAGGGACCCATTGTTAAAGGGATTAGCATAGAATTTAGCATTGAAATAGCTAAGTTAAGGCATACACATCTTGACAATGGAATTAGCATAGAATTTAGCATTGAGATAGCTGAGTGATTAGCTTGTACCTGCTGCAGAAATAGAGCTTGTACCTGCTGTAGAAATAGCTACGTTAAAGTCAGAGCATACACATTCACAGGGGCCCTTAGTACAAATCAAACAGGAGAATTTAGCATTGAAATAACTAGGCGAATCCAGCATTGAAACAACTGAGTGATTAGCTAGTGACTGGTCACAGAAATGACTACACATCTGAGCTATTCACAGTACTATATAGTGAACCAATAAAAACTAAAATATAAATTACCTTCATGTTATCAATAAACTCTATATTCTCCAATCAGCTAAGCTACCAACAATAAGTCGTTATATATCACAATGCTATATGGCGAAAAAATGGGTGGATTCTTACCCTCAAAAGAAGACATGATGGTTCAATGAGCCACTCTGTCTACAGGAAAGCTACCCATACAGATGCTTACTTGAAACCGGATTCCCACCACCATCCATCCCAGAAGAACTCCCTCATCAAGACTCTATACCATAGAGCCCAATGCATTTCCGACCAGGAACACATTACCAGTGAACTCAAGCATGTACACCAGGCTCTCAGGGCTAATGGCTACTCCGACTACACAATCTGCAAAGCCATCACTCCAGTCATGAAGAAGGATCCTCTTGTGGAGCCACTCAAAACCATCACCTTACCCTACATTGCAGGGGTCACTAAAAGATCTCCAAAATCCTGAACAAACACAAGATCCAGGTCCGATTCAACACAGTACATAAAATCCGTGATTTAGTTCCATCTGTAAAAGATGCTGTTCCAGACATACAGTACCCGGGCGTTTACAAACTAAAGTGCCTCTGTGGTAGTAGCTACATTGGAGAAACCAAAAGACATATCTCGGACCGCATCCGCGAACACAAAGCAGACTTGAAACACGGTAGGACGAACTCCTCTGCCGTGGCAGATCACTGTTATAATTCAGTGGGCTCACATGACATTGACTTCTCCAAGACGGAGGTTCTTTGCAAACCAACCGGCTACCATGAGAGATTCGTTCATGAGGCCATTCACATATACAAGCACAGAGACAATTTCAACCGAGAAGATGGATTCAGGCTTAGTAACCACTGGAAAGATTTTGATTTAAAGCTTTCGTGACTGCAGTAATTCATATTCTTAGTTTTTTCGGTAAAGTCACGTTGAAGAGAAACAACAAAATAACACAAATTTATTGTTTTATATATATTTTGTTATTTTGTTGTTTCTCTTCAACGTGACTTTACCGAAAAAACTAAGAACACTGGAAAGATGTTTTAAATCATTTCTGTTCTTAATTAATTGTATTTTTACGATGACCTTCAGACCGCAGCTCTTTCGCCAGCATTGCCTCTTAATACCTCTCACACCACGGTTAATGGTATAGTTTTACAATATGGAGCATACTAGGGCCTCGCAGCTGTCTCTCTCCCCCTCCTCTGTTCCGACCATGGACGAACTCGTCCGTCTGAACAGGGCCCGTAGCTATCCGTGGTGCTGAAATTTGAGGTTAAGAATCCACCCATTTTTTCGCCATATAGCATTGTGATATATAACGACTTATTGTTGGTAGCTTAGCTGATTGGAGAATATAGAGTTTATTGATAACATGAAGGTAATTTATATTTTAGTTTGTATTGGTTCACTATATAGTACTGTGAATAGCTCAGATGTGTAGTCATTTCTGTGACCAGTCACTAGCTAATCACTCAGTTGTTTCAATGCTGGATTCGCCTAGTTATTTCAATGCTAAATTCTCCTGTTTGATTTGTACTAAGGGCCCCTGTGAATGTGTATGCTCTGACTTTAACGTAGCTATTTCTACAGCAGGTACAAGCTCTATTTCTGCAGCAGGTACAAGCTAATCACTCAGCTATCTCAATGCTAAATTCTATGCTAATTCCATTGTCAAGATGTGTATGCCTTAACTTAGCTATTTCAATGCTAAATTCTATGCTAATCCCTTTAACAATGGGTCCCTCTGCGGGTGTGTATGCTTTAACTTTTAACATAACTATTTCTGTGACCAGTCACAAGCTAATCATTCAGCCATTTCAATGCTAAATTATATGCTAATTCCTTTGTCAAGGCGCTTTGTTCCTCTCACACAGCTTAAAGGCCGTATCTGAACGTGGCTCTTTCACTCCAGCGCTGTCCTACCAGACAGTCTCGCCCCCTTCACCTGATGAAGGCCGCTTGTGTTGTGGCCGAAACGTCGTGAGAATATTATTGTGCTATTTTATTTTATCAATTTATTATTTTATTATCATTCTACGTGACTTTACCGAAAGAACCAAAGAAGATGAATCATTGCAGTCACGAAAGCTTTAAATAGAGAGAGGAGACTTCCCCATTGCCGTCTGTCACTGGCAGAAGCCACTACACTGGACACCCTTGCAAACGAGATGTCCCAATAATAATCATATCATTGTCTTTATTCATTATCAATGCTGGCCTTAATCACTAACTTTAGTTGTTGGATGATGTGTGTATGTTGAACTTCCTTCGCGCCGTACGTAGCCAACCGTGCTAATCGGATGTGCAGGGGTGCTGGCGGTCGCACGACTTGGGCAGTGCTCATCGCGCTTGTTGCTCTTGATCAAGTGGGGTCAATTCCACATTCTTATGGCAGGGATTCCCTTAATGGAACGAACGGGTGGCTTCCCATCCAGCAGGGCAGCTGAAGCAGCTGTTTCTGATTTTACCAATCTGGTAGGGATGCTCATGATGGTGCAGTGATGAAGGAACTAAATCGATCTTAGTTTAAACATGATTGTATGACCTGTTTTTTAAATTATATTACTCCACTTTAGTTTAAAATAAAAAAGGTTTAACTTTTTTAAATGTTAATTATGGAATTCATCGTCATCATCTTCTTCCGTTATTTATCAACCGCTGGATGAACGCCTCCCCTCGCCGTCACCATCCGTCAAGGCCCAGTGCTGCTTTCATCCACTTGACCCTTACGCATGAATTTATTTCATCGCTCCATCTCCCTCTTAGATGCGGTCTGTCCTTTAGCTGTCATTCCATCACCAGTCTCGTCCATCGGCCATTACCGTATCTCTTGACGTGACCTGCCCACAATCAAATATACAGTCTATGTGTGATGTACTGGGTACGTCTGCGCATTCTAATACACACGATGTGTGGTGAATCTGAATCTGCTTTGTGGTTCACAGGGGGAGGGGTTCGCGTGCAGGCGCCACCACTCAGGTGGGGACCCCCGCGTCGCTCCGTGGACCCTGGCGAGCCCTGCCCATGCTCCCCACACGCTTGGCGTGCCACACTCCTCCCTGCCCGCGATCACGGATTGCCGCGCTTACAGAGGGGCCACCATTCACATGGAGAAGCCCTCATCATTGGAGGCGGCCACGTGGCTCAGATGGAGGTCAGAGCGTTGAGCCGTCAGCGTTGAGGGCTTGGGTTCGTTCCCAGGTTTCATCTTCAGCCCGTTCACGAATGGCTGCACAGAAAATAAAACTTCATTAAATTTGGTTCTGAACTTAATTTGGCTAAATTTCAGCTGTGAGAATTAAAATATTGTCTAATACACAGAGTAAGTGGGAGACTGCTGCCCTCTACGATGTGGACTCGAGGTCACTTGAAGGGATTTCAGAGGTAGCCCTGTGAGATCCGCTTCTGTGGGTCATTCCGGAGCATGAAGAGTCGAAGTGCCCTGCGAGAGACCCGAACGGGTACTTCGTCTCGAAACGTGACCCCAAGAGTACACTCGGGATTACATTTGGGGAAAATTACCCCAAAAATATAGATGTTTTTCATCAATAATGTTTTGTCTTGTTTGGGCTGTCTAGATTTGACCTTAACTTTTGTTACGGTTGCCTGGTTTATATTGTCTCAGCTGTTCTGTGTACTATCTCATGTGTACTGTATCATGTGTACTGTATCATGTGTACTGTATCATGTGTACTGTCTCATATGTACTGTATCATATGTACTGTAGCATGTGTACTGTAGCATGTGTACTGTATCATGTGTACTGTCTCATGTGTACTGTATCATGTGTACTGTCCCATGTGTACTGTATCCTGTGTACTGTATCATGTGTACTGTCTCATGTGTACTGTATCCTGTGTACTGTATCATGTGCACTGTCTCATGTGTACTGTCTCATGTGTACTGTATCATCTGTACTGTCTCATGTGTACTGTATCATGTGTACTGTATCATGTGTACTGTATCATGTGTACTGTATCATGTGCACTGTCTCATGTGTACTGTATCATGTGTACTGTATCATGTGTACTGTCTCATGTGTACTGTATCATGTGTACTGTACCATGTGTACTGTACCATGTGCACTGTATCATGTGTACTGTATCATGTGTACTGTCTCATGTGTACTGTATCATGTGTACTGCCTCATGTGTACTGTATCATGCGCACTGTCTCATGTGTACTGTCTCATGTGTACTGTATCATGTGTACTGTATCATGTGCACTGTCTCATGTGTACTGTATCATGTGTACTGTCTCATGTGTACTGTATCATGTGTACTGTCACATGTGTACTGTATCATGTGTACTGTATCATGTGTACTGCCTCATGTGTACTGTATCATCTGTACTGTCTCATGTGTACTGTATCATGTGTACTGTCACATATGTACTGTATCATGTGTACTGTATCATGTATACTGCCTCATGTGTACTGTATCATGTGCACTGTCTCACGTGTACTGTCTCATATGTACTGTATCATGTGTACTGTATCATGTGTACTGTCTCATGTGTACTGTATCATGTGTACTGTATCATGTGTACTGTCTCATGTGTACTGTATCATGTGTACTGTATCATGTGTACTGTCTTGTTTCTCTGTTAGCTCAAATGTAGACTTTGCTCATTTTTCGCATGCACTGTGATCGGCTCTAAAAATCGACCGTGACCCTAAGAATCAACTTTACTCGACGAATCGACCAGAACGCCCCCGTCTAATGCCACCGCTACTTTGGGGGTAAAATTTGTTCAACAAAACCTTTTCCCCATTACCGCCAAACCTGAAAGAGGCCCCCACACACAAACGAACACACATCTCTATATTGGTTTCATAAATACAACCGCACGTAGAGTAGATTTGTTATCAAATGTGCCCAATCTTACAAGCGTTTCCTATTGGATCAGTGATTATAGAATTTACAAATCATGTCGGTGTTGTTTTTAAAGATTAGACAAAGCAATAATAATGTAGCAGGAGGGCAGAGAGCATTTGCCAGCTCATCCAAAGAGAAAGGCGCAGTCCATGATGCCCAGTGTGAATGGAAGTTTGTGACAAGGCCAGGTGGCGAGTGTCTGAGTGCCCCGTTTCGCCGCGTCCCTCTACGGCTTTCCTGCTGTATTGCCCATGATTATTATTGACAGAGTGCAGATTAAACAAACTCAGCGTCACATCTCTCAACAGTCCCTCGGTAAAATGTTTAAAAGCAGCTGCTCCGTTAAGCGCGGTGCTAGACATCTGCAGCAACTGGAAGCAGATTTGCACGAAGATAATTTAGTTCAAGTTATAGATTAATCTATTTATATCTAAACATCTATAAGATGAAAACACGTACCATACAGATATGTTAATTATTTGCTAATTTTATTTTCGACATTCATTCACGGAATACAGAGTTCGCCGTTTTATATTTCATGACCGGATTTTGAAAGTGATAATATTTATATTATATTTATGAATGACAGAAGTCAGTCAACTACATGAAAGTTGTAAATTATCATTGATTGTATTTTAAAATGTAGTGCTTAAGTCTGTTACGTAAAATATATATTTTTTATAAAAGCATTTGGTTCCTAAAGGAAACTTGATTAAGCCGGCATTTGGTTTGAGTTAAGGGCGGCCACATCCTTGGCTTTGATGTGAACTCTGTGCTTGGCATCGCTTCATCCCCTTCATACTGACTGCACATGATACTGTATTTCAATTATCAGGACACATCTTCACGAGTGGCTAATACTGTATTGACCTTGATAAGTTTCAAGACTACAAGATTGCGTATCAATACACATATATTCATCGTAGCGCAGTAGGTGTGCTGATATCAAATAAAGATCTTAGAACATTTAAGTAATGCACTCTGAAGACGGGCCATTGCCCAACACGTCACCTATTGTATATTGTTTTAATTGTAGGGCCACAGCGTTGTTCTTGACAAATGTGTTCAGTCTTCGTTTTGTTAATTTTGCCTGGGCACCACGGCCAAGCAAGCAGCTGCAGCACCAGATTATAATTAGTCAAATGCAACAACACATTCATGAGTATTACATATTGGTTGTTCTATTCTTGTGCATGGCGATATGTTCAGGAGCTAAATGCCAATGTCCGAGGTCTGCTCGCTATGAAAAGGGCGCCGCCACGGTGGCGAAATGTTAACTACATCGCCTGGTATGCAGAAGGTGTTCTCCCAGTGGTCGTGTGGATTTCACCCCGGGTTATCCGGGGTTTCCCTCCACATTTAGAAACACGCGTTTAGAGTATTTGGCTGCGAAACATTTCCACTTCGTTGAGTTATCATTTGTAGCCAGGTCGCTTCTGAAAAAGAGATATATAGCTCAGTGGACCTTACCTAGTAAAATAAAATAAATTCGTTTAGAGGGCTTCAGGAAAGACTCCCGTGTAGGTTTGCCTCCTCCGTTGAAGAAGCGTAGATTACAGTGGTTTACTATATGGTCTAAAGTTTGGATTGCATGGCCACAGTAGCAATGTGGCTTGTCCTAAATGTTCCATTCATGAAGAAGATGTGTGCATCGGCCTGTTGATGTTCCGATGGCGTTGATGGTTCTACCAAAAGTTGGTGAAGGGAAACAGGGCGGAGAGTGGCACACTCTGCTGGATGAAGGCCTCCTCATTGGGCGCAAGTGTGTCGTGAAACCTCTCCCAAGCAATGTGATCGTCTGCAGCCAGCATGTGACCCATTATCCAGGAAGGGCTCCGTGTGCTGCGGGGCGGGTTTCGTGCAGGCGCCACGGATCAATCGGCGGCTCCCGCACGACGTGGGATTGCTCGCAATCAACAGGAGGAGTAGAATGGTGGTGGTTGCCTACGCCCCCACTCGATATGAACATTGTGGAGCGACACAGACACGACTGTTGAGTCAGATGCCTTCAATTACTTCCTGTCCCAGGTGCTGGCTTTCCTAGCCCCTCGAGATAGTCACTTTCTAAAGTGACTGATGTCTGAGTGAGTCGTGATGTTGGCACTTGGGTAGAAGTTACTTGAATACGTGGGCCAGATCAATATAAACGATCGGAAACTTTTAAACTCTGGACTGACGCACGTGGCAATGCTGTGTTATGGGTGGCTTCGCTTTTGTGGTGAGGATATATGTCAGGATGGGTGGCAGAGTGGCACAGTATGAATACTCGTGCCTTCCAGCAAGTTGGCCCTGGGTTGAATTCCCGACTGGGGTGTTTTATCGTATTTTCTCTCCTGCATGGGTTTCTTCCGGGTTCTTCCCATAACTAAAATAAATCCAGACAATACAACTGATATTGGCCAAATACGAGAAAATTACTCAATTGGGATCATGGCAAACATCGCACTCTCCTGCGATAAAACTTGGCAGGAACCTCCAGATGGATGGTGGCAATCATCTCGCAGTCCTCCTTATTCAGTGCGCTATGGCAGCTATGCCAACGATTCCTTTGTGTGCAAACTAATCCACCGCCGTTCTGGAGTGTTCTCAATCAGAATTTCCAACCTACACTGAGATGTCACCGGCCTATGGGATGCAGGCACATCAGCATGGTATTTGTCATGCATGGTGTTCAGTGCACTTTCAAAATGTTCAAGTGTCGGGAGGAGGGTGGGTGAGTGTCCGAGCGCTGAGCTGGCACCACCGCACGTGGCTCTCAATCCCGGCAGCCACTTGCGATGAAGCCAGATTCTCAAGTGCAATGGTGTCGAGTTCTTGACCTGGTCACGACTGCACAACGTGTCGTGGCTTGGCTGGAAAAATGTGTTAAATGGTCCAATTAGGTCACCAATCTATCTGTTGTACTGCAATATAGCAGATAACCGCACAACCCTTTGACGTTTGCCAGCCGATCGCCAAAGTAATGGATTAGAGGCGCGCTTCGTCCTACTTCTGAGCAATCACCCACCACAAGGTGTGAACAAAAGAGATGTGCGTTTCTCGGGAGGGTGAAGGGAGTCGGTCAACATAGAGGGTGGTGGGTACATCACGAAGGGAGTGTGCAGGAGGACAAGGAAGCCGGTTGTGTTTTGTCTTTATACACACACACACACGGCGAGATGAATCTACATATCGTGAAATTGCCTTCACGTGAACCAGGAGAGGAACATGCAAATGTGTGAGATTGCATATGTGGCCACATTTCGAGTCCAACCCACAGTTGGGATCCAGGCCATCGGGGGAGGCACATGTGGCTCGGTTTTGGCGAGTGGACATGCCAGTGGGAGTGAGGGCACTAGCAGATGTACGCCCG